ACAGGCTATTCCATGTTCCTTTGCTGTTACCCTCATCATCCTTGCCAAGCCACTCTTCCTCCCGCAGGACTCTACCGCCAGCCTCTGCCTCCTGGTATTCTGTTCCAACCGCTGACAGATGTCCCCCGCCTTCCTCCCTCTCCCCCGCCACCCCCGTTTTATATATTTGATGGCCCTGACGTTCTTCTCCTCAACAAAAATACACCCGCGCTTGCTGCGCGGGAGGGGAACCGAGAACTGGCTCACACGGACCACCCACTTACCGTGAGGAACCAGCCACATTCATGGAAGGAAGACAGGCCCCCTGCCTCAATGTGTGAAAAGTCCACGGGTGTCTTTCTTATCATCAGAACATCCAGGCGAAGGAGAAGAAGGGGCTCTACTACTGTGGGGAAACGACCTTGTGCTTCCAAGCGGAGTCTTTAGTCTTACATGGCCGAGTGGTCACCCTAGACATGCAAAACTAAAAAGAGTTTCTCCATCCAGAGGATATTTGGGTTGTGGAATTCCCTGGCACAAGACCTAGACATGGTTGCCAACTCGGATGGCTTTAAAGGGGGATTAAATACATTCAGGGAGATTAGGGCATCAATAGCAACTTGTCAGGATTGGTGATGTATCTCCAGTATTCGAGAGCGTGTGCCTCTGGAAAGGCTGTACTGTACAGTTGCGCTCATGTTTTTGTTGGCAGGCTTCCCTTAAGCAACTGGTTGGCTACCGTGTGAACAAGACCTCGGACCCCCCTTTGGTCTAACCCAACGCTTCTTACCTAAAGGCAAGGGACCAAGGTTCAACCTCAGCATCTCCTGTGGGAAGGATCAGTAGCAAGTGAGGGGCAGAGACTTCCCTCCCTGAAGATATATTGTCAGTCTGGTGTAGACAGTAATGGGTAAGGTACAAGGCTGCTGAGAAAGAGACAAAGTGAGGCAGCAAACAGGTGCTAGAATTTGCAACACTGTTAAGGTAACAGAGTGCCCTTTACCACCTACAGTAGCACAATCTGCAAGGATGCTGTTTTGCACAAGACAGTTAAGACAATTATCACTTCCCTTGATCTTAGCCATTAAGACTTAGCCATGCTTCTGAGATCTCATTTTAGCTCATCCCAAATACTGCATGAAGTTCTATAAACCCAAAAGACTTAGCTGGCTAACAAGCTAGATACGATATAGAATAGCTAGCTATTGTATTGACGTCTGTACCTCTCTATTAGTATGAACACTCTCATTGTGACTAGAGACATGGAACAGAACACAAGAGGAATTACCGGAGCAACAAAACACAGGATCTGCACTGCTGTGATGATGGTGATTCTGAATGAGAAACCACAGTCTCAGGAGACTGGTTTCTCCTTCCAAAACAGATTCATTGGCTGTACCAGTTCCTTTTGTTCCTTCCTCTGCTGTGATGGTGCCAGCCCCACAGTCCATCTGCAGGGCTATGGGAAAGGAAGAATAGTCTTTTACTCTGCAGGAGGCATATTTGCCATGTGCCCATTAACATTAATGTTTCTGAGTGGAGCAAATGCAACAGATACCATGCCTCTCTTCCTCCTGCCAGCCTTGAAAAATACGCCATTTGCATCCTATCTTCCTTCTACCAGTTTAGGCAGAAACCTTCAGAACACTGCCAAAGAACCCGAAAAACCCACAACAGCCATTTCAAAGAGGCTTCCCTTCCATACATCAATCAGACCCATTTCTTGTTAGCTCTGGTGCTGCTCTTACATGCTGTACCTGCAGCCCACAACCTTGGAACAGACACAAATGGAACTTCTCAACTCAATATTCCTGTTTCTCAAGCAGTGCTACTTCTCTTAGTCCCTGGCTGGCAACTCCATGGTATTGGCAAAGAGTTGAAGGGCCTGCAACCTTGGTGCTACAACTTGACTGACGCCCATCCAAGCCAAGACCCTGGCAAGGGTTTCGTATCTGCCTCACCTCCTCCTGCAGTGACAATTGCAGAGGCTTGGTGGAAGCCTTCTTTCAAGCAGCTGTTTACTGTAATTATCTCTGCCACCTAGCTTAGGCAGAGGAGTGAGCAGCTAATGGTGGTGCCAAACAAGAGACCACTCATGCAATTAGCAGTTATGTGAATGAATTTTTAAACATACATCTAGATGCATGGGCTCAGTCTGGATCTTGGCTTTGGCATCAGAGTACTTAAAAAAAAAGATTTACGAAACTATTTCTAAGCTGTTTTGCAGAAAATATGTCCTCTCTAGGCGGTTTACATGAAAATTAAAATTAAATTTCAGCAAAATATAATAGTCCAAAACAGCAGTGAAAAGTATACCACAATCCAACCTGGCTGTTATGTAGGACCAATCAAGCCACTGAGAAAAGAGCAAGGGTTCATGTCTGGCCCCTGCTGCAGTCCTGCTCTGGATCAGCAACCCACTCATCCTGCCTGGTCTGCTCTTGGGGCTGGGGAGGGAACCTTCAATACTAATGGGAACTTTTCACTCATGGATCGTATGGTGGGGTAATTCAGGTGAGGACCTCAGCAGGAGACCAAGGGATTAAAGTTCTCACATCTTTAAATTCCCAAACCCATTTGGGGGCCCATTACCACTAGTTTAGAGCTTAGCAATCTTCAGCAGCCCGTGGGCTGCCCATGTCCTTCCTTGGAGTTTAGAAAGTGGCACCAGCTCTCATGATCCCAAGTCCCAATTATTTGTTGACTTATTTATCTCCAAAAGAGAAAAAGCACCCTTGTACCTTCTAGTGGTGAAATTTTTGAAAAGTTTTTGAAGTGGTGGGAGGCAGATCTGTGTCCATAACCCAGAAAGCAGAAAGGAATTCTTTGAGCCCCCCCAACACATACCTATTGCTTTTTAATGTTGTTTAACTTAGTCATGGTAATATATGCTTTAGTTACATCCCCTATGGATAACTGTAATGCGTTCTCTGTGTACTCACTGTGATTCTCGCAAACCTCAGGCTCTTGCCAGGTGAATTGCCCTTTTATATGAGCACAGAGGGACTCCTGTCCTTGAATCCAACTTTTTACCATACATCAAGACCCTCTGCGTGCTCCTTCACACCATTCTCTCTACACACATGGGACACTCCATTACTACCCTTGAAGTGTAACTTCTGAATGCTACCACTTCATTGTGATGAGGAACCATTAAGCTGCTATTATGCTTTGGTAGAGCAACTTCCACTCACTCTGAGAAAGGTATTTATTAAAGCAACTTGTTGCAACTTAAGCACTTAGGTAAGGCTACCACCACCAGTTCTGAAATCAGAAACTTTTAAAAGGCACCTGTTTCTTCCCCTCCTCAATTTGTTTGAGATTAGGTCAAACAGCAACATGAGTGCTTATGTGATTCAGTTTGTATATACAGTAATGTCTATCTGGAGCAGTCCAATCTAACATACAATTACAATTATCTCTGCCCTTAACCTCTTGACCACCTTTCATACAGTCTTTTATTATACCTAATCCAACCCTCTCAGGCTATGTCCCAAAAACAATCTAAGCCTAATTCTATCTCTCCATTCATCTCTTCTAAATGCTCACCCTCTCTTCCATACAGTCTAGTTCCTTCCCCTCAAGACTGGGGAAAACAACTGAATATAAGATTCTGTAGAGGAATTTAGGTTCCCCCTGCCCCATGGCCAGAATAATTATATGTGTCACTCATCCAATGCTCTTCTATCACTCAACCCATTTATTCCAGCAAGTGAACAGCCAACTGATCTATATCTACATTATTTACAAAACAGCAATAGGCAGGTATGGACTGAACTCATCACACTCATCTTTGAAGATTGTTTAGAACCTTCAGCTGTGCCCATCTATTTCATACCACTGGCAGCACAATCCTTTACATGAGAAGCAAACCCCACTGATTGAGTGCAGAAGGGTTCACTCTTCCAGAAAAAGCAAGTTTAAGATTGCAACCCTGAAGCACTTTTTTAAAAAGATAAATCTTTAAATACTATTCTGAGCTTATGGGGAAAGAGGTTAGGGGTTCCTTGTCATATGTAATATTGGGGCACTACCATTGCATGTCCTGAGATGTTTGCATGTCTGTTGCAGAAGAGCCAGCTGTGCTTTTGGAAGGGAACTGTCATTCAGGCTTTTGTCTGTGATGCTGCAAAACTGGTCTGTCCAAAGACTATGACAGATCTACCCAAAAATGTAAAGCAATGATAGTTGAACTAGTCATCATTTCCAAGTTAACAAAAAAGTATTATCTCTAAATACAATATTGTACTAATAGAGACCCATAGGCACTGAAAGCCGTAACTGAGAGCTCTGCAGTGCATGTAAAATAAGACCTGCATCACTCAAAGTCAGCATTTACTAAGAAAGCATCAGCTGGCAAATTCCAATGAAAAATACATCATGTGCTATTTGGGTTGTGCAACCATGCAACTAAGAATGGATGCTGCCAAAGAGAGGACTCCTAGCACTCACAATTGGGAGGCCTTGTGCAGCCATTCTTCCTTAACAGAAGACATGGGGAAACTACAAAATAAAGATCATGTCACTTGGAAGGTTCTCCTCACACAAGAGTTTATGAATGAAGCAGGATAGTTGCAAAACAAGAGCTTCTTAATGAATGAACTCAGTAACCATGATGGAAACACAGATATAATCAAGTACAGTATCAGTCTCAAAATCTCAACAGGATTGATGACAATTCCCCTTCATATCTAAAACTTCTCAGTTGAGTCATATAACAGATTAAACTGCGTAAACCAGCTATACATAAATCTGCAGTGGACAACTACTTATATAGATCATCCCTTAGTCTCTTAATTAGTTACTGCTTACAAAAATAAAAGGAAGCTGCTCCAACATTGTGTATAAAAATAAAGCTTTTTATTTCACTATAAAATAAGCACCATTTAAACAAAGGGCGCTTTAGTCCTCTTCTCCAAGGAATCCTTCTTCAGCTCCTCAAAGAGGAAAAGCATTTTGCTCACCATGGAATCCAGCAATCCATAAACCTAAAAGTAAGAATCAACACCAAGAAGTTTTAAGGACAGAAGAAGAGGGTGGAAGGGCCAGGACAGCAACATTTTAGAAAGAAGAGAAGCATAAACCTTAGATTCTTAGACACAGCTTCAACTACAGTGGACCCTTGACTTACAGACGGCTTGACTTACAGACTTTTTGACTTGAGAACCGCCTTCCAATACAGATTAAGTTCTCAAGTCAAGACCCCACTGTACCTGTAAATCTTTCTCCAAATGTCATTGTTTCTGTTTAGGGCAGGAATGGTAGCAAATATTGCATGCTGTTATGTTGTAACACACATCAGGGATCTGAACTGAAAACTGACTAAAGCCCAAACCTAATCCACTTTGGTCATGGTAAATTTATATTTAAAATGTTGTTTGTGTTATGGCTACAGTATGTTTGCTATGCTTTGCAATCACTGTGGAGCCCTGAGGACCTGCTTCATATGCTAGTGTGCATCACCTCCATTAAGCCCATAGGATACCAGGCACAGAGGCCAGAATGGATCCATGCAATTGACCAATTGGGTGGCCAATTCCATGCAAATGCTCTTATTGTGGCATTCTAGAGGGGGAAGGGAGATGGACACACACATACACACACATGGGTCAGATCTCTTTCTAGGGAATGGGAATCTTAGAGCCAAGCTATGTATACTTCAGCAAAACTGGACTAAAAGAGAAAGGATTGTACTTTCAAATCAATCTGATGCATGTTGACTTGAAAATAAAGCCTGCTGAATTCTCATGATTTTCTTGCAAGTAAATGTGTAAAGAAATGCAGGTTAAGATCCTTTCTGTAGTATCTTAAGAATTAGAAGTTATTTTTTTTAAATGCAACTCATCTATCTCTATTCAGGTTTTCACACTAAAACTGCAACCAGTTTATTAGTTTATAAGAGGCCAAGCTAACCTGGACCAAAATAGAATCTTCAATGAGTGTACAAAGAAAGGGGGACGGTGTGATAGGTAATACACAATTTTTATGGGGATAAAGGATTTTCAGTTCTACTCATTGGATACAAAAATACTGCCATTTAAACATTTTATAGCCAAAATTGTATGAAGAAACATAATTCAGTCTTTCAGTGATCTATTGCATACTGTGGACATCCTTTTCTGCACTTCTGAGCTTCTGCTACTGTGGCCCTTCAACAATGGCAAACTGAGGCAAGATATAATAATTGTGTGTCATCAAGTCCATTGTGACTAATGGCAATCCTTTTCAGGGTGTTCTAGGTAGAGAATACTCAGAAATGGTTCACTATTCCCTTTTTTTAAGGGCATCCTGGGACTGTGCAGCTTGTCCAAGGCCACACAGGCTGGCTTTGCTCCCAGAAGGCACAGTGAGGAATTAAACTCACAACCTCTGGCTCAGCAGCCAAATGGCAGACTGAAGAGATATAGACATTCTTAAAACCACTGTGTTTCCTCCTGGTTGAGGAAGCTACAGAATGTTTCCCTCTTGGGAAGCACACTATGCTATTCAAAAGGATAATTAAAGCAATCTGCATTTATTTTTAATGAGCGGGGGGGGGAGAGACTGAAATTAGCACCTGCAGGTGTGGCTCCTTTTAAGCTGTTTACCTTACATTATGTTGGTACAAAGGAAAAATATACTTTTAGAGATTATACAGAAGAGTCATGTAAAAGATTAAATGTTTTTTTTCACCCCCAAATCAGGAAGCATTCACTTTCCAAGTGCTGTCAGACAATCTGACTCCTCTTGCTGAGCTTTCTCTGTTTAAGCCTGTTGGCTGAAAGACTGCCGCTGGACACCAAGTATCCTTTTCCTAATGCAACATATCCAGCCTTTTGGACCCGTGCCAGATTCTGGAACTATTTCTAGTGGTATATCTTAGCAAGTGGTGGTACTGCTGCCTCAGTAGAAGCTGAGGATAACAGCCAAGGTGAATTCCACTACAGTCTTATACCTGGTTCCCTGAGAATATGTTTCACTGAACTCAGAGGAACCGACATCTTGGTAGACATGGACAGGCTTTCACTGTTAGAAATGTTTTACTCTCTATTTTGCTTTCTGCTTCCTAATTAAATCGTTCCTTTAAAGTACTATGGTTCTGGCTGAGTTTATGTAGAATAAAAGGCATGGTTCACTGTTTAGGAGGCCTGTGGCCTTCCAGATGTTGTTGGACTACAATGTCCATCATCCACAAGATCCTCAGACATTGCAAAAAACAAAAAACTATATAGAAGCAAAAGAAGTCCTGGACATTAAACCAATATGGATATGCCTTATATTATACACTAAACTCAACAAAAGCTTTTTTCTGTCTCAGTGGTGCCACAATACCTTTACTTTAACAGGTACTTCTCTAAGATCTTTGCTGATGTGTTTCCTCCTTAACACACACTTGAATACTCCAGACCAGCAAACTGTTAAAACTTTGGCTTTTATAGAGGTGCTCACACTTCTCAAGGGCATTTGGTTAGCAACACCTGGCTGCTACTTAGCCTCTTAATTCCTATGGAAGCAGTAAGGGTGTACTTAGTTTTTCATACATGGCTTCTCCATTTTGGCTTTATTTCTGCAAAACAAATTATGACATGGTGGAGGAAATGTTTTTCTTCATCTGAGGTTGCATTTACCTAATTTTTCAGACCTGCTGAGGACCAGATGATTTTTATTATGTCCTGTTATATAAGACCATATTATTCAAGGAGGGTGTTCTTTCTTTTTCACATAACTGTACTGTATATTGCTTTTGTTTTTTTGCAATATCTGTCTTAAGTTATTCACCCTAGTCTTAGCCCAATACTATTAATCCCGGAAGTAAATGACATTTACTATCTTTCTACATTGGACAACTTAGAAGAGATCAGAAGTGAGACCTGATTCACATTTAGGTCCTGGGTGACATTCCCACCTTAAACACATCTACTGAGAAGGACCCACCCCTTATGTTACAGTGGTAGATATGCACAAATAGGCTGAGAGCTTCAATTAAAGTGATGGGCACATGAGCAAAGGTCACACGATGGACACACTTACATCAACATAAAGTTTCTCGTGATACTTTTCCTGCACAACTGGATCTACATGTTCTTGGCGAAGTCCTTGGAGTTCTGTTTCTGCAGAATCCACTACAAAAGAAATAGCTTCCTTTGCTTCCTTTGTAGAAATTCGTGACTTCTTCTCTTCTTTCCATTTGCCTTTCTTGCTATTTGTGCGATCCTGCTAAGAGAAATGCAAGTATAGTAATGGGAGAGCAGGGCAAGCCTCAGTACTAGTATGACGAGAAGGAAGGGAAAACCTCCTCCTATCAGTTTTCTTCACACAGCACATAATCATTTGTTGTGTATCAGGGGACACAACACTTTTGCCATCTTCTCCTTAATTACCTTTTTGCTAACCTAGAACCTCCAAATATTACTACATTTTCTCGTAGCGATGTCATTCCAGATCCACGATTATATTCATTACGCTTTTTTTGCAACTTTTCACAGTCTAAAATAGCCCTTTTGAGGTGTTATGAGCAGAACTGTGCACAGTATTCCACATATCTCTGTTGTATACATTTGTAAGAGACCATGTGGAATTTTTGGCACTGCAGTCTTAACTGTTGCTTTCTTACCTAATAATTCCTAATATGCAACATCAGACTGTAAGTGGAATTAACAATTTTTTTTGCTCTAATGTGCCTCACTTTACTTTTCCTTATATTGAAAGGCACTTGCCAGTTTAATGCCCGCTCACCCAGTTTGAAGAAGCTATTTTGAAGCTTTTTGCTGTTTCTCTTTTTTTAATTACCTGAAACAACTTGGTGTTATCTAAAAATCTGGTCACCTTCCCAATACATATTCCTGAGGAAACCTACTACTCACATCCCTTCATTATGAGAAACAGCTATTAAAAGCGGACATTGAATGTTTGACAGGAACTATCCTTTCAAGTAAAGGGTAAGCTCAAATCAGAAATCAGAGGCATTTTCAGGTAATGTGTCAAATATCAGCCAGAATCCTATTAGGTACTGTAGTTATGCTAGTGTCAGTGCAGTGGTATAAATGGCAGCAGTGAATTGCTACTTGTATCCCTCCATGCATAGCCATTGCTCAACAAAGCTGGTGCTCACTGAAGGATACAAGAGGCAACCTCTTAACTAGCAGAATTGCTTCACTTTACACCACTGCCCAAAGCTGGTGTAACTAACCAATATGATCCTGGTCATTTCTGCTGAACTGAGGCCAAAAATAGACATCAGAGGACAAGCAATAATTAGAGCTGAAAGTATGTTAACAGTTGCACTGAGGCAGTCTTTCGGTGTTTGTGAAATCATATTTCAGTGCTCCTGCTGTGACACTCAGACTTCAGGCTTAGTTAAGAAATGTTCTTCTTCCATGTGTGGGCTATCTCTAACCTCTGCTTCATTTCCCAGTACTGTACCCCAACCACATACAGTACCTCTTTCAATGCCTTTCCTTTGTCTTTTTCTTTTGCAGCAGCCTTCTTATCCTCTTTCTGAACTTTCCGGTCCTCCTTTCCGGTCTTTACAACAACTGGCTTTACCTCAACTGTGCAGAAAACAAAGCAACTCACTTGTTTGAACCAGGCAAAACTAATCCTCATTTCACTGATCTTTCAAGTGATTAATGAAACTAACCCTTTGCCAGGTAACCAGTAGTGAAATCTGAAAAGCCAATAAAATCTGAGACCTTGTTCAGCAAAGAATATTTGCTAGTGATTCTCTACTTGGATGAAACAAGCTCAGAGAATAGCAGAATTATTTTGTTGGCCTGTCCTACAGGGCTTGGTTGGGTTGCATTTTTTATATAATTGTTTAATTTGTTTCTTGTGTTTAATTTTGTACAGCCATCCAGATCTATACAAAATATCGCTCTGGGCAGCTTGACCCATCACTAGTTGGGTGGGGTATATAAGCCAAATAAAATAAAATAAAATAAAATAAAATAAAATAAAATAAAATAAATATAGTCTCTAGAATCTTAAAGTTGGCTGCAGGATCCTGGGAGTTACAATCTTTTTTTTAAAAGGAACCTTCTGAGGCTCTGGACAGGCCCTCCTTCCAACTCCTACTGATTCTGCAAAGCTCAACACACACACCCCAGAGAGATCTGGTCTGCTGAAATGAATGTTTACCTGGTTCTTCTGGGATAACTTCTGCATATGTATCCTTCTCGGGCATACCAAGCAAGGACCTGAGCAACAGAGATTGTTTCACCAGACCATCAATTACTTCACGCCACAACTGGAAACTGGCATATAAAAAGAAAATAGATTTTATTTCTGGATGGAAACATGAAGAAGAGAAGGACAGGCAAAAGCTTATGATCTGCCTTTCAGTTATTTTATTTATTCTCAGAATCTAAAGGAAACTAAAACCAGAAGGAGCTGTTAACTGCTTTAAGTAAGCTTGACAGATTGAAAGGCAATATGTCTCAGACTTCTGATGTCCAAGACAAACATTGCTCTTTTTAAAAATTCAATTAGATTAACACTGGAGGGAAATTGTCCTTTGACACATGAATAAGCTTATTTTTGAACTCCAGTGATTGCTCCCTCTGCCCACCCCACCCCCATATTGCATATCTCATTCTTACACAAGGGGAAGAGATCTAGGATCAGTAAATGTATTGGCCAAAATCTTGTTCCTTAATGTAATAAACTGCACTAGTGTAGACCTACTGAATCAATGGGAATTTAGTGAGTCAAGGTCTACTCTAATTGCAACTAAAGTAGCAACTAGAGTAGGCCGATTTAAATCAATGGAACTTATGAAGGAGCTGACTCACTAAATTCCTGTTGACACAATGCGCCTTCTCTAGAGCGATTTATTATGCTAAGCAACAGGGTTTGGGTCATTATGTACCAAAAGCTCCAGGCAATTTGAAGATATATTATGATGGTATTCTAATGAAGCAATCTGTATCCATAGTTTTAAAAAAAGCATTCAAAGGAAGCCAAGGATCTCTATCTGTCCTCCTATTTCAATTACACCAATGACTCTTGGCCTCCTAACCAGAATTACTCGCCTGCTGTCTGTTTTTCTATCTATGGTTTTAAGAGCATCTGGTTTAATGGTTTGAGTATGGCACTGAAGCCAAAGAAACCAAGGTTCAAATTCCCACCCAGCCAATGACATTGGGAGAGTCATTGGCTTCTGTTCTAAGCTATATCATGAGGTTGTTGCCAGGATAAATAGGGCTAGAAAAATATATGCTGCCTTGGGCAGTTTGGAGAAACACCAGGGGGGTGGAGGAAGTAAAGATAAGATGTTTAGAAACGGCATTGTTTAGAAACAGCCTTTGTAACAAATTGTGTTGGTCAGAGTATTTGACAGCAGCTTGGGAGATTGACTTCCAGGCCCCTCACAGCCAGTCACTCTCTCAGCCTGGCCTATTTCTGAGAAGAACCATCTCTGAGAAAGAACCATCTAGGTCATCTTGAGCTTGCTGGAGAAGCAGTATAGATGTAACTAATAAACAACAAAGTCTAAAAAACATTTCCTTTGCTCCCATGCGTCGATCCACCTGGTGGAAGCCACTGCATCTTCTCTAGGGTTGCAGTCATCTACCAAGGGTTGTATTTCCCCCTTTCTTTGTATTGTTTTCATGTGTGTTTTCTTTCTTTTTAGCAAAGTAAGGCTAAGTTTGGTCTTTGGTCTTGTTCCGTACCAGCAACATACCATATGTGATACATGAGGTCTTCCTGAGTCTTCAGTGGGATCGTACAAAGCTCCAGGGTTGCTCTGTTGAGATGGGCTAGGGCAGTTTCTCGTTCATCTTCATCAGGAACTGTCAGCAAGGTCTAATGAGAGAGAAACCACCATCACAATAATCTTTCAGAGCTTCACATATTTCTTGTTATCCCCTAGAATGACAAAGGGACAGAATGGACAAAAGAGATGCTTCCTACCAAGACCTTGCCAAATAAACCATTTGGTGAAATGAATACCAGTAGGCCAGATTTGCATGCTTCCACCCTGCTCGTCTCCCAGTTCTGCTCCCTTCACCATGAAAATCATCTAATGCCCAAATTCAGAAGTATATATATGTATGGATTATGGACTCTTCCTTTATTGCATGCACTCCGATGTGTTAAAGAGGATGCCTCTGAAGAAAAAGGGAAATGTGCATTTGTGATTCTAGATTTTTTTTTCCTGGAAACTGGTGTTGAATTATGTGTGCAACATCTAAAGGCTGTATGCACTCTTTCTACTATCTTCATTGTGGACATGGTGTTATCATTCTTTCAATCAACTAGATGGATAAGTGGACTTGACTTGGAATATTCCAAAGTTAGGAGAAATAAAGAGCACTGTTCATTCACCTGTTTAAAATCTGCGATGGAAAGATTCCACTCCACCCGACTGACTTCCTCCACGTGGTTCATTTCCTCCACAGCAGTTCCATCCAGCTGGCCTACCACTACCTCTAGGACAGACTTCTTTACTCCTGAAACAGCTGGGGAGACACTTTTGCGGCATATTGCGTCATCAGGACTCTTCTGCCGTGAGCTTGTGCCACTCTTTGGTGGGGATGATTCACTGGCAATGCTTTTCCGATGACCTTCGTATGAATATACCTCTATAACTTGGGGGGGATTCATGAGTTTATTCCAAAGATCATGAAGTTCCTTTACCACTTGGTGTTTATAGTGTAGCTTATAATGAAAGGAGATATAAAATGAGACATGTGAACCAACAACAGGATTTTGGCCATAGCACAATATCATTTTTTTTTAAATGCAGTTAAGAGTATGAATTGCACCAAAAACAACTACAGAGGATCTTGTAGCACCTTAAAGACTTAGAAATAAATTATGGTTTGAGTTTTCATAGACAAGGGATTACCCGTTCAGATTCAACTTACAAATGAACATTAAATATAATGGCCAAAATCCTGTTGCTTACCGTAGCAAATTGCACTAGAGTAGGCCCATTGAATCAAACGGATTTAGTGAGACAGCTCCTCCAATTGATTCAAATGGTTATGCTCCAGTTGTTACTGGCTTTAGCATAATAAGTGGCAGTTACAACAGCCCTATTTGAATCAATTAAACTTATGGAGGAGTTGGCTGATCAAGTTCCCATTGATTTAATGTCCCACTCTACTTTAGTGTACTGTGCTAAGCAACAGGATTCTGGCCATAAAATTTAGTGAGACAGCTCCTCCAGTTGATTCAAATGGGTATGCTCCAGTTGTTACTGGCTTTAGCATAATAAGTGGCAGTTACAACAGCCCTATTTGAATCAATTAAACTTATGGAGGAGTTGGCTGATCAAGTTCCCATTGATTTAATGTCCCACTCTACTTTAGTGTACTGTGCTAAGCAACAGGATTCTGGCCATAAATTATTAAAATATAATTGTTGAAATAAATATTTCCATACAGTCATGGATTGCAGGATTTCTTCTCATCATAAACAGACTTTATATACAGTTTTTTTAAGAATAAAAGTCAGGTGGCATTTTCTATCTTTTGAACCTTTTGGCTTTCAGGGTGTTGTTATTGTTGTTTTTAAAGGATCTGGTGTACAGACGAGCATAGGAAATGTCACCTCTAGGTTCAGATACAAAAAAGGAGTGGCTTCTAGGAATCAGGAATCAGATTTATATACTTAATAGGTCTGAGAGCTTTCCCATGGTCTTCTGTCTTGTTTCCTAACACCCTGATCTGTATCAACATAATGATACCCTTTCACTCGAAAAGGCAGACATTACCTCAGGGTTTTTTCTATGGAACAACTCTTCTTCTGTGACATATGCATCTAGAGGAGATCGTACTCGCTCTGGCGTACGAATTCGGTCAAGCAATTCCTTCAAGTTCTCTTCGACTATAACAGCAACCTCCTGGGTTTCCAGATTGCTCTAATATTTTAAAAAAAATAGTACATGAGGTTTAGCAGTCAACTTCCATTCTAAATGTCAGGTAATACATATTTCTTATAATTTCTTCCAGAGAAAAGCAGACATAAGTAGCCAGATTAACCTGGGAATGCAGAAATTAGTAAGGAAAAGTAAACCCTGGGTTCTGCTACCGGACGAAAGAACAAGGACACCAGGGAGGTTCCACCCTTTCTACTCAGGAAGAAAACCATAGAAAGGAAAAGGATGCTTTGATCCTCATCTGGATAGAAATACATATTATCCCACTTACCCCTAGCATCATTAAACATATCTTCCTCTACCTTCTATCTTCACCCTTCCCTCTTGTGTTTTTCATCAGCAAGGCTGAGGACAATATAGTCTGTGCCCTATTTTCTGAGTATTGGGGAAACAACACTGGGAAGCTGTTTCACCATCCATTTAATTACCTCTAATTCACGCCTCATCTCAGATGATATATCTTCATATATGGCAATTCCCCATAGGGTTACTTGTAGCAAGGCTCCACCTAAAAGTATAGGATGAGTACCAAACTCCCAGGATTCACTGAAGATTCCCGCATTCATGGATTTGAAGATGAAAGAAAACTTCCTGGTTTCTCCAGGCAATATTACCCCTAAGAGAAGAAACATATTGGGAAGTACTAGTGAAAATCACTCCTATAAGAGCCCCTTCACGTGTTGCTCTTATATTTTATCATCTGTTATTTCACTCACTCTCTCACACACACATCCTCAAGGCTTTGGAAAATGTATAACATGTATTTTGCTATAAATACTGTTTGCTATGCTTCCTTCGTGTGTATGTTTGAATGATCACAGTTCCCTACTGCAAGGCCTTGTAGGGAAATGGAGAGCAGACTACACTTCCCCCCCCCCCCCCCCAAGATCTACTCTGTTTTTAATTAGAAACCCAAGATCCACCAACCAGAACAAAACACTAAAGACAAACAATTAGCATTAAAGGCCATCTTGGAATTTATTGTCAATACCCAACCTTAACAGAGCTCACAATCCTTTTTTTAAAAATCCGTCTCTTGATATCTTAAGTGTTCCCCATTTTGGCATCTAGTGGAGGTAGAAAAATTACTTTGTTACTTTTACTACTAAACATCTGGTAATAGAAGCCTTTGCCGATCTGATGCACATTACAGTATTCACTAGCAGGTCCTGATACACACATGATATATATACAGAAAATGGTAAATATGTGTTTGTAATGTACGAAATGATCCAGGAGAAAGAGAGGTTACTTACCTGTAACCATGGTTCTTCGAGTGGTACTCTGTGAATCCAAATGAATGGGTTTTACTGTGCCTGTGCAGGACTCCTCGGAATCTTCTAGAGCTTAAAAACATGTGTTTAGTAAGACGTTCTTCCATGGTGCGCATGCTCCACCCTCCTATAATACCTCAGTTCGATCATGCCTGCCACTGTCTAAGCTCTGAAGCCCCAAGACAAGCAAGTGACAGACAGTGGGGAGGATGGGCAGGATGTGTGGATTCACAGAGTACCACTCGAAGAACCATGGTTACAGGTAAGTAACCTCTCTTTCTTCTTTGTGGTCTCTGTGAATGCACACGAATAGGTGACTAGCAAGCCAACTCACTGGATGGAGGGCCATCATGCCAACATCGAAGTCAGCACAGCCCTGCCAAAACTCTCCTCCTCCTTGGCCCTGACGTCTAGAAGATAGTGTGTGACAAAGTCGAAGGCGTAGACCAGGTGGCCACTCGACAGATGTCAGAAACCTCAATACCACGCAGCAAGGCAGTAGAGGTGGCCATCGTGTGAGCTTTCAGCACCTCTGCCCGAGTCTTTCCCGCCAACTCTTAAGCCAGGGTAATAGCACCTGGGATCCACTTTGATATAGGCTGTGAAGAGGCAGGACGCCCCTTTCCTGGGCCATGGAAACAAACGAAGAGGTGAGGAGAACTATGAAAGTCCTTGGTTGTAGAAACATAAAATGCCAGGGCACGGAGCACATCAAGGAAATGGAGCCTGCTCTCAACATCGGAAGAAGGAGAAGGAAACAACGTTGGAAGGATCAAAGGCTGATTAACATGAAAACTTGAAACAACTTTTGGTAGAAAAGACACATCAGGATACAGTGTCACCTTATCCAGATTAAATTGAATATAAGGGGCATCAGTCCTTAGGGCAGCCAACTCACTCGCTTGTCTAGCAGAAGTAATCGCCACTAGGAAAAGTGTCTTGAAGGAAAGAAGCTTTAAGCTCGTACAAGCAAAGGGTTCAAATTGGGGGGGGGGGTGCGAACCAGTGCACGAAGCACAACCTGAAGAGACAATTGAGGGAGTGGGGGTTTAACCGGAGGGCGAATGTTCTTCAGACCGCTAAGAAACTTCTTCAGTTGGGTGCAAAAATCAGCATGAAGCCTCAGATCCAATAGGTTGATAAGAGACGATAGCTGAAACATAAACTTTGAGTCTCGAGTGTGCCAAACCTCGATCAAACAGATGACGCAGGAAAGCGGGGAGGGTGCTTAGAGACGCTGGAATCGGAACTAGACCCATAGAGACCATAAAAGAGGAGAAAGCATTCCATTTATAAGAATATAATAACCTAGTAGAAGGCTTTATGGCCTTGCCCAGGATGTCTGCCGCCATGGAGGCACCTTGCAGGTTGTAAGGGGGAGAGTGTCATGAGTTCAGCCAAAGAAGATCTGGAATCTGAGGGGTTAATTACAACTGAGGAAAATGCTGGGCAATTAGAAGCACAGACAGCTGAATCACCGTCAGATTCTCCTCACCCAGTAGCCAGAGTGAGGGCTAAACTTTGGCAAAGACTCATGACACGAAGGGCAGAAGATCGCACGAATGCTTCCCATAGGAACATCAGGTCGACCAGCCCTGAGTTTTAGCAGGATGAAGTGTTTAGATGACTTGTTGCTTGCACCCAGAGGCTTGGAAGTTTGTGGAAGCAACAAGTCAACACTGTCTCGCATCCACACTCCTGCTTATCCTGGACCCTGTTCTCTGGACCCTGGGCTTTGGACTCTGACTGCTATGGTTTGTGTTTTGGCTTTGGCATTTTGGTATCTGCTTTGCCTCTTTTGGACTTCTGATGTTGGACTGGTTTATTGGACTGTTGCCTGTTGAAACCCCCTAGGAACATGACAGAGAGACTCCAAATCAGGGTGACAAATCATGCCGTCGCCATGAGTCAGGAGGTACGGCTGCAGAGGTAGCCTGAGGAAGTTGTCTGACATGGTCCTTACATGGGCAAATCATCGCTGGCGAGGCCACCAGAGAGCTATCAAGATGGCATTGGCCTGGGACTGCTGGATCCTGACTATTGTCCTTTGAATGAGAGGAATAGGAGGGAAGAGATAAAGCAGTGCCTTGCCCCAGTCCACCATGAATGTATCACCTCAAGAACCTAGGCCTTTCCCTGCTCGAGAACAGAACATGCTGCACTTTGAATTGTCCTGACTGGCAAAAATGTCCAAGGTCGGGGTACTCACTGACCGCAGAGACTGGCAAAAATGGCGGCATTGAGAAAACCGCTTGTGGGTTTGGGTGGTAAGACGGCTCAGGCAATTGGTGATGTTGACACGTGAATGGCAACTGGGAAAATGTGGTGGTCGTAACAACACTCCCAAAGATGAATCACCAGGTACAGTAGGGAAAGTGAGTACCGCCCTGTTTGTTGATATAATACAGGGTGGTCATATTGTCTGTGGCAATCTGTACTCCTCTGCCAACTATGAGAGAACGGAAAGTGCGAAAGGCCTTGATGACCACGAGCATCTCCAGATGATGCCGATCATGCTCCCCATAATGGAGCTCTTAATAGTCTGCCAAGTATCGGGAGTGCTGAGGGATGTAAATAACATCCTGATGCCTAGATGACTGAACCAGTGGAGAAACATGGTGCCACTTAGCCAAATGTTTACGCGGAGGAGAAGCCCATGCCGAAACGTCTGAGTTCGAGAGCTGAGTAACAGTTGTCATCAGAGGTGTTAAGGTATGCTCCATAGTAGATGGTGATCTCAAGGTTGAAGGCCTCAGGGATTCCTCCCAGAGAAAAGATCGAAGACGCTGCAAATGAAGCTTAAGGGCAGGTCTGGTCAATCTCTTGCATTCCGGGCAGGAGCTCATCTGATGTTGTTCCCCCAGGCAAAACAAACAGCAACCCGAGAGGGGAATTTTATTGGCACATGAGCTGCAACACTTGAATGGGCCCGTCAGGGCCATAAAAAGGGTGAGTGGGAAGTGGGGGGAAAGGGGGAGAGGGGAGAATCAGAAGAAAGAAAAAACTCACAAGGAAACGTCCGAAACAGAAGAACAGATCTATCCCGAAATCCAAATCGTAAACCGTGAGACAAGCCAAAAGTCCGAAAAATTCTAACAACAAGAGGTTCGCTCTAGAGATTGCCAAAGAAGTCCGATTTCAGTGGCGGCTACAAGGAAGTGAGGCATTACAGGAGTGTGGAGCATGCACACCACGGGGGAACGTCTTACTAATCACATGTTTTTAAGCTGTAGAAGATTCCGAGGAGTCCTGTGCAAGCACAGTAAAATGCATTCGCATGCATTCACAGAGACCACAAAGAAGAAACTTGAAGTAGCATAACTGACTTCATTTTACAGGGTGACTCTTTGCTGGGGCACTTCACATTAACTTCACATTCTGTAATCTGTCTTCTTATTAGTTTGATCCCCCACATCATAGCCTTTGAGTCATGAGGCGTTCTGCTCACTTCAGTAGCATCTCTTTATCACTGTGAAATGACCTGACTTCTGAAGGACTTCTGACAACTATGTTCCAGGCAGAAATGATCATGAATCAGGACAATTTGACTACTTTTGACAGATTCTTCTCCCCTTCATTTGTTCCACAATACCCTTTTGCTTTGTCCTGTAACAGCAGAAGGAAAGAGCCGATCCACTCTCCTTATTTTCCAACAAGGTTCTTCCTTGATATCTAGGAGCTACTGCTAAAACCTAAAGATGATCTTGCATACTTGACTGGATTCACTATGTTCAATACAGACTCTTAGGGAACCTCTCCTTTTTGTGCATATTTGGAGTTTATATGAAGACATCAACTGCCAACATACCAGACATATTATTACCCACCTGACCTGGTGTTGAAGTAAAAATTCGGTGTCTTTTTCTTCCTTTTCTCTTGAAAAGTAAATGGATGAGGCAACCTTCGCCAATCATACCAGATGGCAGTTGTGCCATCATTGCTCACTGTGAGGCGAGATTCTGCCTTCTCACCTACCAAAATCTCAAAGGTGACACGGGCAGCAATGCCAATTTCATCCTACAGTATTGGAATTAAAGAAAACAAAACACATGGGTGCCTGCAGTAGCCAATTTCTGCCTGGTCATGACATTCCACCCCATACCTCCCAGCCCAGGGCCAGATAAGTTCCTTGAAATCTCCTGTCCAACAAACGCTTACGTTTAAAGCCCTAAACGGTTTAGGGCCTCGATACTTGGCGGAACGCTTACTCCCACCCAGTTCTACCCGTGTCACCCGTGCGAGTCAGGAGGTGAGGCTGAGGAGCCTGATGCTGAGGGAGGCCTGGAAGGAGAAGACAAGAAACCGGGCCTTCTCGTCAGTGGATCCTCGCCTCTGGAACAACTTACCTCCTGACATTCGTGCAGCTCCCTCGCTGGGTATTTTTAAGAAACAACTGAAAACATGGATGTTCAGGCAGGCCTTCCCCCTTTCCATCTAATACCTAATTATTCTTTTTTCTTTCTGTTATAATATATCCTGTTTCTCGCCATCTTTGGGAAAATTTTTATTCTATCTTTTAATTTATGTAAATTATGTTATGTGATGTTATATGTATGTTATATGTTTAATTTTTTAAGTGTGTGTTGTAAGCCGCCTAGAGTGATCACAACTGACTAGATAGGCGGGGTATAAATGAAATAAATAAATAAACAAACAAACAAACAAACAAAGACTCTTAAAAAATCAAGCTAGGATGTGGTATTACAAATCCAGTTTACCTTAGGAGAAGTGGTCTCGATCCAGCGAGCTGGTTGTCCACAGAATTTCAGAGAGGGACCTAATATTGGTTCTGAAAACACATCTGGATATTCTTCTAATGGGTCCCTACCAACCAAAGCAAAAATATGAATTACTCAGAGAAAATTACTATGCTTGGAAAGAAATGAATCTGATGGTACCTTGCAGGACTATTAGCCAAGAACTAAGTCAGAGTTTCCTTGAATAAATAATTATTGCATGCCAGCTTCTAGTTATATGAAATTTAAACCAGATATGGACATATATAAATGATTTTTGATGTGATCAAAGAAGAGAATGAGCAGAGCTTCATTTGAGAAACAGATAATCTACTGTGGGAAATCCTGGCCCCACCTCCCAGGTGACCAGCAGTTGGAGAGCCTCCAGGCAAGAACTCCATGGGTTCCAGTTTGGGCTTATGAATCTCAACAGCTTTTATTAACAGAACAGCAGTTGCTCCCACTGTCTCTTCTCCCACATTCCCAGGGGGCTGAATTTCCAGCATTAACCTTCTGGGTAGTCTGTCAAACGGGGCTCTGCTTCGCTTCACTGGGCCCACGGAACGTCCAGGTCCAACTAAGTGTGAGGGGAGGAGGAGGCCAGGTCCAGGTCACAGTCCTTTTAAGGAGGGATGGTAGAGCCAAGCGAGATGGACCAAGGTGTGCCAGGACATTCCTCCCAATGCCTCCTTTACTGCTCCTTATTGGCCCTTACACCTCTAGCACTAGAGTTGGGATGGGAGTGGCTCCTGTTGAGCAGCAGGACATCAAGGCTGAAGCTGCACAGGACCTCCATCAAGTTGCAATGTAGGGGCTCCTGATCTCCAGCCAAATAGGCTGGGCAGGAAGAGATGGCACCAAACGTCCTCTATCCCACCTTGTATCTCCACAGAGGCACAGAAGATGGAATCTCATTCCTTGACTGCCTCTCACCATGTCTCCTCCTCTGATGGCAACCACCCTCATCCCTCTACTTCCAGTCCTTTGGTTCCTGCCATTGCCTAAGGCTTTCGCCCTTCCTCCAGCTGTGGTGTTGCTTTTCTGCTTGCCAGCGGTCAAAAGACTCTCTTTCTCCCATTCTCCTGTGGGTTGGGACCAGACAGCCCACCAAGGCTCCCCAAGGTGACCCTTTCACATCTACCTAAGGCCTATATTTGCCAGAGACAGTAAATATGTGTTCAGATTGTACCACTTTGGATTACTGGTATGGTTTCACATGACTGAATGCCCCTCTGCACCAATACACAACCTGCCAGGATTTCTGGGAGTTGTAGTCCAAGAACATCTGGGAATCCAAGGTTGGGAACCACTGATCTAAGTGGTTTCATATCTGATTTCGGGTCCTGTGTGGGCACAAATATTAAAGTGGGGGAGGGGGTATTTCCAGAGAAGAATTAGAAATGGGGAAAGCCTATGCATCCACTCACTTTCAATGATTTTGTTTGTTTTATACATAGACCACCCTTCTCAGTTGTTCTGCAACTGCTATCATTTTTTTCCCCAGCTTGTGTATTAATCCTGGGCGTTGAATGTCTGTTTCCCTCAGGATGCCTCCTTTTTATTAAACCAATACCCAAAGCACTACTTACTGGCTTTTTTCTTCTTGAGCACTTTCTTTATCTTCATCACAGGGTGAAAAACGTTCTGCTGACACATTGGTGAAAGGCTGATTCCTCCCTACAACTTCCAAACCATCCAAGTCCTTGAAGAAAGAAAGACAGAAAGAAAGAAAGAAAGAAAGAAAGAAAGAAAGAAAGAAAGAAAGAAAGAAAGAAAGAAAGAAAGAAAGAAAGAAAAAGAAAGATGAATGCTTTTGGACTTGCCTTATGCTCCTATTGGTTTGTTAGATGTCCATTTGTCTATGGATGGACTGAGGACTCTTACCCTGATGGTAGCCCTATTCCTCTCTTACAGATACTGAATACATGAGGAAAGGGAGTGTAATAGTCCCTCCCCTCTCTGTTGCTCTGCATACATGTGAGGAGCAGGAAGAGAGGAGCTTCCTTTAGCCATGGTTCTTCCCACACAATCTGAAGTTCTAGTGCTTCAAATCACACACAAAAATGCTCTTCTCTTGGGAAAGTCATCTTTCACTAGGAGAGGAGGAGAAAGAACTGGTGATTGAGGGTGGGGCTGGATGGGGCTTCCCCACTCTTCTCTGCTTGTGCTTGAATAGGGCTATTGGGTTGTGTGTGTGTTTTTTGTTTTATGTTAGGCTTGTTTTTCTCTTCTGGTCTTCATATGTTAACTATCCATAGGGATTCTTTTCTGACTGTAGCTTGATTGTAAGTGTTCTTCTCTACTGGTAGCATTCTTTTAAAAGATTGTCTGTCTTTAAACATCAGACGTGAGGTAGACATTTCTTGTTGTATACAAGGGGCTGTGATCACAGTGTGTCGCTATGTGGGTGAGGTGGAGATGGAAAAGAAAGATAGAGATCTTGTGTCTTTCCATAGTATGGCTATGTACTTTCTCTCAAGTAAGTCATTTTAAGGGAAGGCGCACACTAGGTTCTGCTTGAATGCTGCAAAAGATGCCATGGAGTTCCTCCCCTCTATAAAATTTAGTCATCGTTCTGGCATTTCATCAGACATATGTGTTCCCTAATGCTAAAATATAAAGCAGCCCCTACATACTGTTGTTAGCTGTGATTTTCTTTATTCTTCCCCTTCATCATGTGGGAGGCTGTGCAGTACAAAAAGACTGAACAAAATTTACATTACTGTCTCTTGGAAGAAAGATGAAATTATGCAAAGGTGATACTTCTAAATGGTACTGTGCATGAAATCTTATCATACCGGGTTGTAAAAATCCAGCTTTTCTAGGATCTCCTTTAATTCATTCCGTCTATGTTTTAGGAAAAGACTGTCCTCCCAGTGAAGATGGAAAGTGCGGTGTCTTGGAGGCCTAGTACCTGTGGCAATTAGGGGCATGAGATTATTAGTTCACATTTAAATACAAAGATAACACAAGCCAGAACACATGCTGTTCTCAAAATCTGAACATTAACTAAGTTTTCCAAAACCCAAAGAAGAAGAAAAAGACTGACTTATGGCAGCCTTTTTACAATTGAAGTATGACTGCATAATGAAGGCAGTTGATTTGATCTTCAAAATGAAAGTCTTTTTTTGGGGACTGGCAGTGAATGTTCATCCATATATCCATATGTTTATATATATTTAGGAAGAAGTGGGTGGAGATAGAGCAGCAGCTAACACTTGACTTATGGTGGCAGAACAACAGAATCTAGCACAATATCCGCTTCCCATTACTCCTGTCACCCACCCCAAATATTATCTCTAGAGGGGCAGGAAACCGTCTGGAACCAGTTTTCAGGCAGCTCTGAGGGTTGTGTAGAGGAAAAAGAAAGACATCTCTGACACACCAGTGCTTCAGTACCAGAACCACACCAGATTCAGGAAATGGATCATTCTGCTATCTTCTTTTTTAATGTATGGTAGGCTGTTTTTCTGTTTGCAACCTCTTGTATACAAATAAACTGACAATAATACTGCTCCTCAAACCATTTTACTCACCATACATTATACATACTTGCTTAAAACAACTTGATTTGGTTTGGCATGGGGGATTCTGACTCTGTATGTTTAGCTAGTCTGCAGGAATCTTTTGTATTTACAATTGAATCATTGTATTAATCCTTATTAGGGTCCAAGACATTGTTCTACATTTAAGCCTTGTGACTGACAAAATACACTTACATAAACTTCTCAACAGCAACATACAACTAGCAGGAAAAAAAGTACTCTTATTTTCTTTTACCAAATGCATACTTTGCTAGGAATGCTTCATGGTTATGATGTCTCACCCATTTCCATCCAGATGCTGCGAGGTCTCCCCACGTGAGTGACTTCTTCTGGGAAGCCACGTTCAGTCTGACCCAGAGTCACGGCAAGACCAGTAAGCTCATCTCCAATATACACAGGCTGGCTCCAGAATTCACTTCCCGCATGCTGGCCCTGGTAGGAAAAAACAGCAATATTTACCTACGTAAAGCCTAGTTTTGTGTGGCAAAGGATCAAGCAGATACATTGTGAATGGATGGTGAGATAGTTCAAGGAATAGAAATAGAACATGGCATGAGAAGATGAGTATACCTTTTGCACGGCTGCTCATTATTATTCTTCCTACCCTACTTTGATATCTATTTATTATCCCAGCTTTCTGTTTTTAAGAAAAACATTTTAAGCAAAGTGTCTTAAAAACATTAAAAGCAATAGCAAGCAAACCCAGTTATGTCATCCTGCTCATCAAACTGCTTTTAGCAGTTCCTTGCCACATGCAAGGAAGTCACCCTCAAAATCCAGAGAACATCAGAGGTTTCAGGCAGAAGACCCGTTGCTCTAGAAGACCTCTCTTAGAATGGCACTGGATTCAATCCATGAAGAAACTTAAAAACAGGCATCAACAACTGGAAGCAGATGCTAAAATAGCATATTATTGGTACATTTTAATTCTTTTTATTCTGTTTTCAGACATTTAGGACTATAGCTCCTGTTACTCCCTGCTTAAATATATTTAAGCCAGGCATTCTTAAGTGAAGATAATGGGAGTGCTAGTCCAAAACATCTGAGGAGTGGCAGGCTGCAGAAGGCTGCAGTATATTATCATCACCTGAATACTTAATGTAAGTACATCTTACATAATAGATAGACTGACTGTTATTCTAACTTGCACTTATCTCCTTGCAGATCATTTTTTTCCCTGGGAATAGAAAATTTTACCCCGCTGTCCAGTTATAAAACCTTAGCTAATCACTACAAAACTGCACTGTATAAATGTAGCCTAGAAGCACAGCTGTATGGATTAGTTTTGAGATTCAAAATATACATTTGAGCTGATAAATTCTTATTAAAACAATTATAGAAGAACATAATGTCTTCAGTAGGGAACTGCTGATCACACTCCCACTACTCCCAGACAGCAAAATAATTGAGGATTTGTAACAATAAAAAGCTAAAACTATCCCTAAAAAGAATATTTATAATTGTATTACATGGCCTTAGAAGTAGGACTAGAGAAACTTTGAAAAAGAAAATCTGAATAACACATTGATTTCTTGAGAATGATTCTTGGTTTCTGTTGTACTTGATAATAGTTTAGTAATGATAAAAAGAGCATCCAGCGTAATCCTACCTCGTCAGAACTACCGAACTGGCTACCAGAATCTGCAGTCTTGGCCACCAATGTGGACAGCTTTCAAAGGAGGTGGGACAAATTCATGGAAGCTGGGGCTATCAGTGGCTATTAGTCATGACTGACCAGTTCCTTCAGTACCAGAGACAGCTTATCTCTGTACATCTGTTGCTGGGGAGCATGAGCTAGACACTCCACGCGCTATCTATTGGCTTCCTAAAGAGGTATCCAATTGACTGTTGTGTGAACGGAGTGTTGGGCTAAATAGGCATTGTGTCTGACTCAGCATACTCCTTCTTGCATTCTTACTCTGATGCAAGACCCTCCATTTAGTGAGTACAGTACTGCGCTGTTAATATGCTAAGATTTTCTCAAAAAGATTCTATATATCAGAAATGGCTAAAATATTTATCCATAATTAACAGTTATAACTGTCAGCATTTATCTCATTTCTCTGTCAAACCTCTTACATGTTACTGTTTGTGATGCTGTATTTATTCAATAGTTCAGAAGTTTTAACCTCAGCCAAACAACTTTCAGTTTTTTGAACCAGTCTTTTTTGTTTGTTTTAATTCTTTAACGACAACTGCATGTTTAAGTTCCATAATTTATCATGAGAAGGTTATCTTGAGTGAATCTATTCTTTGGGAAGCTACTACCTTTCCAGGGTACAAAGCACGAAGACCGCGGTCAATCAGAGTACGCTCTTCCTGTATTTTCCTATAATTCTCTGAAGAGTTCATCACCAAGTCACTTTCTGATTTCTCAAGGTATTCTGAAAACAAACAAAACTGTTTCACTGCATTGTTGTCGAGCCAGCTATTCACAGTGCCCAAGAAATCAAGCTACATATTCAGTCCTGCAACCCCAAATCTTCTACATCTAAACCAGCCTTAATCTTTCCTCAGGCTACAAAAGACACTGTCAGCTCTGGATTGAATGCAGAACAAATTTTCTCTAATCCTAGAGTATAAGAAAAGTCTACAGCAACCTTGATGTAATGTTTTATGCTTGGCCCGTCATGGGTGGTTTTCATCATCAATGCAGCTGCCCTTCTTCCTGAATTTTACTTACCACACAGCTTCTGCTGCTGCCGCCTCCTAATGGCCATGTTGCGATGCCAGTTCTGAAGGGCCAAGTGTTGGGACGAAGGTGTCTGGGTGGGCTTCTCTTCTTCCACATGTATTTTTCTGAACTTCCCAAAAACTGGGATTCCACAAGACAGCTGGGCTTCATCAGGAATAAGTTTTACGACCTGAAAGAGACCCACCGTTTTGTTTTTTGGAGCAAGGTAAAATAAATAGGCAGGATACTGCTTTTCTGCCTGATTCAGCCATCACTCACTTTCAAAGTTTAACCCGTGAACAAAGGTTTGTGTCAAGAGCTGGCTTTCAATAGATTGCTGCTCTGGGAGCTGCTCTGCTACGGACAAAGCCCTGATGCAGCCTGCACAGTCCCAGATTCTGTCACTAATGAGCACACCACTTCCTTGGGTGAAAACTAAGCTAGGACTTTATTAAACGTTTCTGTGCTATTTATCTCCTATGGATCCAGCAGTGTGCTCCTGTGCTTAAATAAAAAGAAAAGGCTGCTCATTCTGTTCCTTTTCTCCTGCTGTGCAACATTCTCTCACAGGACCTGGGTCGTGTGAGGAAAAAATAGACACCATAGTGCTTTCTTCCTGCACCAGAGTTAGCCTCTCTGAAACATTGGAGGGAGTTGCAGCAGCCTTTCCCCACCTTGATGTCTTCCAGATCGTTTGAGGTTCCATGTCCATGATTCCTTAACATAAGCCACGTAAACGGAGGCTGATGGAAACCCTAATCCAAAACAATTGAGACACCTTGGTTTGGGGAAAGGCAATCTTCGGCACTGACTCATTCATCACGGCCCCAGAGCTTTTGACACTTTTCAGGTAACACTGGAAGGACATGTACTGCACAGCCTCCCACATGATGAAGGGGAAGAATAAAGAAAATCACAGCTAACAGCAGTATGTAGGGGCTGCCTCTCTCAATTCTCCACTTTATATTTTAGCATTAGGAAACACATATATCTGATGAAATGCCAGAACAGTAACTAAATTTTATAGAGGGAAGGAACTCTATAGCATCTTTTGCAGAATTCAAGCAGAACCTAGTATGCACCTTCCCTTAAAATGGCTTCCTTGAGAGAAAGTACATAGCTATACTATGGAAAGACACAAGATCTCTACCTTTCTTTTCCATCTCCACCTCACCCACATAGTGACACATTTCTCTCTCTCTCTCTCTCTCTCTCTCTCTCTCTCACACACACACACACACACACACACACACACACACATATCACTATGTTTCAAGCAGAAACAGGAAGGTAAATAGATCGGAGTATGAGCCTTCCTTTTTCAAGTTCTTGGCCCCCTTCCATCAACTTTTATTTATTATTTATTGCATTGATATACTGCACATCTAGTGGCAAACCACTGCTCTGGGTCAGACACAACAGTTAAAACACCCACCCACCATAAACAAAGAGAGACAAATAAAACAATAAAAGAACTAACAGCAGACCAAAACAAAAAACAAAACAGAAATCCAGAAATCTAAGTTTGATGGCTTGTGTTTAAGGGGAGGATCTTCTTGAAAGCCTCCTTGAACAGCAGTTTAAACATGTTTCTTGAAGGACAAGAGGGAGGGCACCTGGCACACATCCATAGGCAATGCCTACAGCATTCTGCAGCACTGCAATAGCTTCCAAAAAGATCTGGTTCCTGGTGGTTGTTTTCTTGGTCTCCCTTGGGGTGGCCACTTGCAACAGTGATGATGGGGAAAAGAAGTTGGTCTGGATAGATTATCTTAAGGAAAAATGCTCTGACAAGTAATGAGGTCCCAAACTGCTAAGGGCCTTATAGGTTAAAATTAGTACTTTAAATCTGGCATGGAAGCAGACAGGAAGTCAATATAGGTACACCAGGATCAGGGAGACATGCTCGTATTTTAAAGCTCCCGAAGCCAATCTGGCCACTACATATTGCACCCGCTGCAATTTCCATATTACCTTCAAAGGCATCCCCACCTGGCAAAGGAGGTGTAGACCAATGGACTAGTGGCCCTATCTACCCATGCAGGTGTGTCAGTCCAGTCCATACCTCCACTCTCCTGTTCCTCAGCTGAACTCTCCTTCTCAGTCCTCTCTCTCTCTCTCTCTCTCTCTCTCTCTCTCTCTCTCATTTATCTGCATTATTTATCTGCTTCTGCCGACTTTGCCAGCAGACCAACACTATACACAGCAGCTGAAAACCAACCTCTCTATGTCCTCTTCTTAAGGCTTCTTCCTTGAATTCCTGGAGAGTTCCTAAGATGCTGTGGGGGAGGATATAGCCATAGTTATCAACTACTGGCCCTTCGATACCTACAACAAAGCATAGCAAGGGAAGCCTAATAAATTCTATAATATACCCATTAAGACAGGACAGACTACACAAATAATTCAAAAACTAATCCGTATCCTCCTATATCTTCAAGCAATATAACATGAATATCATGTTCAGGTATGATAAAAGATGTTGTTAACTATACCAGAATAATTCAGTGTTTTCTTGGATTCATCTGGGACAGCTGGATAAGCAACCAGGAAATGTGTTTTCTTCCCAGCTTCCTGAGGCTTAGATCGGCGAATGAGGTACTTCTTGGTTACAGCAGGCTTCTCTTTCCTTTCTTGAGGAACTTGTGCAGTTTGGAGCTACCAAGACAGAATATACTCCTGATGAAATCATGTCTAAAAATACAGCTCTACCTTTACCCAACTCATTTCCAACTGATAAAAGAAGCTAAAGAATTTACCGAGATGATAATTTATATCCTTTCTGGGAAGCGTTCAGACTGCTGAAATGTGGGAAACTAACAGTTCTAAACTTAAAAAAAAAACTTAAGAGGGGTTAAGAGTGACATAAAATGAAGGAAAGCTTTGCTATATAGTTTCTGAAACCAAAATATGATTTGGGGATGGGATTTCAGTGTTTGATAAACCAGAAACCTCTTGTGCTGTTTTTTACAATCTGCTTCCTCAACAATGCCTTGGTATCATTTTCTTATAACATATATCTCTTCCCTAAATTATATTCTACAAAATCCTGATATGTTTGAAAAACAAACGTATTTACATTTATTTACTGTTTTTCTTATTTTAAATATTTATATCTTAGTTCTCTCAGATCAAGGTAGCAGTCAAAAAGTGACTATTAAAACACAGCAAGATTCTATACACTAATACCTGAGATCATGGATGTGGGTTGGGAACTGGGACTTTCCAGGTAATTCCCTCCTAGCACTCCCATAAGTCTCAGTCAACACTAAGCCAATGGTGGGGGATTATGGAAGCTGCAGTCCAATAACAGCTTGAGGGCTACAGTTAGCCATCTCTGTCAGAAAGGCTGCCACTACTTGTGTGAACTAGATTAATGTATATACTTTTGCCTCTGCACATCTTAAAGTTAATGGTCATAAATCTGCAAGACATTTGAGAGCAGAATTCTAATTCCGTTGTTACAGTGTACTCACCATTGTTTGACACAAATGCTGACTCCAGACCTAGCCAACAATTATCCAACTGCACTGCCTTTTATATTGTGGGTTGGGGCTGGGGGTGGAACAAAGCTTAACAGCACAGAAAAGCATCCGATTGTAAAAGCCATTGTTGTTATGTGTTGTCAAGTCATTTCTGACATATGGTGACCCTATGAATTAATAAACTCTGAAGGGTCCTATCTTTATCAGCCCTGCTCAGGTCTTGTAGGCAGAATGTGCATAATTTAATCCCTGCATATCTTAAAATGAAAGCCACTTAAAAGGTAGAAGGAAACCATGACAGACACTGAAAGTACATTTCAGTGGAACATGGGATGGAGTAAGTATCAAACAACAAAATGTCAGCTTAAAGGCAACTTGAAGTATTCTTTCCTTTGGTTGTTGTAGGTTTTTCGGGCTGTTTGGCCATGTTCTGGAGGTTTTTCTCTGTGGCTGGCATCTTCAGAGGACAGGAGTTTGAACACAGAAAGAGTTCTAACTCCTGTCCTCTGAAGATACCAGCCACAGAGACTGGTGAACTGTTAGGAAGAAAAATGTCCAGAACACGCCCAAACAGCCCGAAAAACCTACAACAACCATTGGATCCCGGCTGTGAAAGCCCTTGAGAATATATTCTTTCCTTATTTAAAATGTGTATCACTCACATTTCACAGTTTCAGATGGTCAGCACTACAACAATGGCTAGACTCCTATTGGTGTTCACATAACTTTTGTGTAACTTGCTACTGATAATAAACTAGGTGCCAGTGTTAATACTGAAACAGCAACGTCTAAGTTGGCTCGGGCATGTCATGAGAATGGCTGACGGCCGGATTCCAAAAGATCTCCAGTATGGAGAATTACTGCAGGGAAAGCACCCCAGAGGGAGACCACAGCTGCAATACAAGGATATCTGCAAGCGGGATCTGAAGGCCTTAGGAACGGACCTCAACAGATGGGAAACTTTGAGATCTGAGCGTTCAGCCTGGAGGCAGGCGGTGCATCACGGCCTCTCCCAATTTGAAGAGACCCTTGTCCAGCAGGCCAAGGCAAAGAGGCAGTCCTGAAAGCAGCAAAATCAGGGAGCTGGACAGGGGACAGATTGTATTTGTCTTCAATGTGGAAGGGATTGTTACTCTCAAATTGGCCTTCTCACCCACACCAGATGCTGTTCCAAGACCTCTGTTCAGAGCACGTTACCACAGTCTCTCAAGACTGAAGGATGCCTACTAAAAAGGGTCAATCTCAGTTGCGTGCCTGGTCAAGGGCCTAAATGTCAACATTGCCATTCTGAAAATATGTACTGTATTGAGAAAATTAAGTGTTGTTACTTCGTTACATTAACGTGACTGCACACATTATATGTGCTTCAGCAATTACCTGCAATTGTGTCAAGTTATGCAGATCTTACATGAACAATAACCGAATTCTGGTCATTATATTACATATAGAGTCAAACATGCAATATCCTTGCTACTTCTTCTTTTATTAAGTAGCAGCCTTGAAATGATTTATTCCATGTTACTAATGTGCATGTATAGTAGCAAACTCATTCCTCCATGTTCTCTTTTATCTCTCATCCTGATGTTTTTGGAAAATGATCAGACTAACAAATATTTTCCTCCAAAGTGTCATACACAGGGGGGAAAGTATGTAACATACAACAGGAGTGTAGCACAGATTAAAAATGTATCATGAAAAACAAATATAAAACACAGCAACACAATCATGAAATATCTGGTGCAATGCCTGTCTAAAAGCAAAGCAGCTTGGCAGATCTTCCCAGGGAGAGATTTCCAAAACTGGAATGCCATTGTCAGTCCTGATGCTGATACCAGGGAAAGGGATCCTTACTAAGGATAAGTTTGGGAGCAGAGAACTCTAAAGCTAACTTCAAGGCTTAGCTGGGTTCATATGGGACGAGGGAGTCCTTTAATAATCTGTCACTGGAATGGAATATGAAACCATGATGACTAATTTTACAAATTAAAGTGACTGAATGCTAAAAAGTAGTTCTTCGAAGATTAAAACAAAGGGTCAATGAAGGCAAGTACTTTGGTTATCACAAAGTTTGTCTCAATCTGGTACCCACCTTTGCCAGATCTTCCAATTTTATGGCTAGAGCTTGGATGTCATATCCTTGTAGCACACAACTTACAGGCTCTGGCTCTTCTTGCACTGGTGAGGTGGGCTGCTCCAAGGCTTTTGTTTTTTTCTTGTCTGAAACACAGGCACTTTATTTTCTAAGACATCCTGTTTCTAGAAACCAGTTCCAGGATCCCCAATGGCCCAGTCATCCACTTCCTGGGAGGGAGATGAAGTATATATTGAAGGGTACATTGGAACTCTCCTTCTGCAAGTCAAGGAATGGTGCCAGGTAGAGACCTTCCTACTGCAGGGGAAATATCCACCAACATCACTGGCCCACCTGCCAGAATGGGAGACCCAAACTGGACATGCTGCACATCAGTCAGTCAAGAATGTATTACAACCACAAAGAAACAACCAGGCAAAAGCATATAGGACTGGGGTTACGTTGAGGGGAGAGCTCAGACCAGTCACTTTGTGGACTACAGTCTGCAGGACTCCCAGGCTAACATGGCCTGTGGCTACACTAGCTGGGAAATTCTGTGAGTCGTGATCCAAAAAGTAACTTTTCTCTGGTTAAGGGAAGTCCTTAATCTACAGGATCAAAACAGACACCAAAGTGATGCTAGCCCAAAAGGTGGAACAGTTAATTCCATCCCACTGTTTTCAAAGAGACTTTTCAAAAAGCACCACCAGCAAAGAAAACAGTGGAAAATGCCCCCTTTATTCGTCTGTTTTGAAGTGGAGGGCTTTACAATGTAGCAATGCCCACACAACTGATCTCCGTCCACCTACACTTCGGATTGCTCTAGCCACTGAGGAAAGGAATCTGAGAGTAGCTAGAAGCTATATGATTCATTATGCAAAAATGTGTCACAAGTACATCTTACTCCATAATAAGATACATGGACATGATTATAGCACAGAACAAAGCATATATGGAAACAAATGAATGTGACAATTTATGCACATGGATATGTAGGAACTGATCATCTAAGTAATTCCCTTTGAACTTGACAGGCAGGCTTAAATTTTTTATTGCTGCCAAGGTTAATGGTTTCTCCCTGAGACAAAAGGAGTGGTGAAAAAATTGTTGGATGGGCCTGGAGGTGAGCAACATCTTGCTCTTCTGATGCTGATGGTCTGCAATGTCTTTCAGTTCAAACTGACATAACCAAGAGTTGCAGCCCAGCAGTTCCGGCGGAGCCACAAATCCTGCCCACCCCTATTTTCAGTAGTAGCCAACCAAGTGGTACAAGAAGTCCACAGACGAAGCATGTGGCATTCTCCCACTAGTCCCCCTCCTTTCAGTGGCACACTGTTTCGGGACGGGAATAATCCATTCTAGCATCATAAAATAGAGATCTACCTTTCATATGCCAAATTCCCTTTTAAGCCCCACTATTAGTAGCTCATTAAGGGCAGCCGAGTGTTGCCCCACTTCTAACTAACCTCATGCATGCCTGCCTCGTTACCACAGACAGAGGGCTTCTCTGTGTGTAAATGCCTGCCTGCTTTGATATATGTTTAGATGTGTGAGAGAGAGAGACAAATTCTTTGTGCGGTTATAAACATCCACTTTTGCTTCTGGCTCCTCTCAACCAATGGCAAAGCATCATAATGGTCACAACACCCAAGACAGTAACCACCGCCACATTTAAAGCAGTGGATTTTGCAAGCCTGACCATGCACTGAGCGTGCAACAGTTTCCAACCCCCAACATTCCGGAATCTATGGCCAACTGAAAGACTTTTGCAACATATACCCCTTCATCCTGCCTTCTCCCTTTGGTTCTAGGGCTCTTGCAGTAGCATCAGCACCCCATCCTCTCCCTGTGTTTCAGACTCACCACCACAGTGCCATGGCTTGTACTGCTCCTCCTCATAACCTGAGTCCCGAAAAAGTATTTCACCCAGCAGTCTTTTGTCAGTTGCAAGGAATTGTCCATGGTTAAAGGGGAGGGTTGGCTTGAGAGTATTCCAAGTGGAAAACACATTTACTCAATCCAGATGCCCACTCACTACTACACACCAGGACTTAAAGGGGGAAAGTCCGGTTTCAAGTTGCAGAGTGCGTTTAAACTGTTTAAACTACGTATTTCCCCGGGTGGCCTTGAGCCATGCTGATAACTAGGCGGCATACAAACATGACTCTGCCGGGGCAGAAGGTGAAGTTCCTGACCTTTCCAAGCGAGGGTGGAAAAGACCCTTGGGCTAGTCGTTTCAGAGGGCCAGGGCCAGCCTTGGCGCACGGCAACTTCCTAAGGGCAACCCTGCGGGTCAGAGAGGCTAATTTCCAAGGTCTCGATGCCGCTGGGCTTTCCTTTCCTTTCTTGAAAGGAGGGAGAGCCTGCTGCGGCTCCCGCGCACCGTGTCCCTCCGAGCACTGTAATAGGATCGAGGGCGGCAGGAGAGCTCCCGGCAAGCTCCCCTGCCCCGACTTTTCAGGACGCTCCCCGTCCCCCCCTCCTCCCAGCGCTCCCAAGAGGCGCCTCCCTTCTCTCCCCCCTCCCCCAACCTACCAGGGGGCGTTTTACTGTTGCGCGACTCCTTCTTCCCGGGCTTGTTCATCTACCTTCCCGATCCTGCGAGGGGGCTCCCCCGCGCGCGCGTCCCGTCCTCCTAACCCGCGGGAACCGCTGCCTCCCCTGCAAAGCCAGGCGCGCGAGTCCCCCGCGGCGTTCTCGTCTCCACGGCAACGCTGTTTCTTCCATCCACCAGCCTGCCTGTCCTGTCCTCCCCTCCAGCCCTCCCCGGCGGGGGCGGAGGGGGGAGAGGAAGCCACGCCCACCAAGGCAAATACTGTAGAAGAGGTCCAAACTAACTCAAGTTGCCCTTTCCTAGGGCAACCTCCGATATGCAGATGATACTATGCTGATGGCAGAAAGTGAGGAGGAATTAAGGAACCTTGCAATGAGGGTGAAAGAGGAGAGTGCAAAAAACGGTCTGAAACTCAACATAAAAAAAAACTAAGATCATGGCCACTGGTCCCATCACCTCCTGGCAAATAGAAGGGGAACATATGGAGGCAGTGATAGATTTTACTTTCTTGGGCTCCATGATCACTGCAGATGGTGACAGCAGCCACGAAATTAAAAGACGCCTGCTTCTGGGGAGGAAAGCGATGACAAACCTTGACAGCATCTTAAAAAGCAGAGACATCACCTTGCCAACAAAAGTCTGAATAGTCAAAGCTATGGTTTTTCCTGTAGTGATGTA